TGACAGGACGAGAGGAGTCGTCCTTAAATTGCACCACAGGATGTTTGGATTGGATATTAGGAAAAAATTTTTCCATGAAAGGGTTGTCAAGCACTGGAACAGGCTGTCTAAGGAAGTCATGGATTCACCATCCCTGGAGGGATTTAAAAGAGGAGTAGATTTGGAATCTGGGACCTGGTTTAGTGTGGCCTCAGCAGTGCTGGGTTAACAGTTGGACTTGACCATCTTAAGGGTCTTTTCCAACCCAAATGACTCTGTGATTCCATTCTATGTGAACAAGGGGATGGACTGGGATAGATTATTAGAGCTTAATGACCCCTTGATTAATTTGTTGTTGACATTTACTCCGAGGAGGCAACAGAACAGAGGAGAGAGCCATAAGCAAAGGGAAGGCTGTCTCTGGAGACTGGCTGGGTTTGGTGTTTTCAGTGCTTTCAGTGGTTATGCTAAACAGCTGTTTCATTATTTATGTAAAAAGCAGTAGCACATGAAGGCTGGGATCCTTGGAAGGAAATCTTTTTTCTTTTCTTAAAGACATGCCTCTGGATTCCTGCAAGTGATATTTACATCCTTAAGGGATTTCCTCAAATGCCTTCCCATGCCAATCTACTTTCCATAAAGCCCTGATGGGATGAACCACTCAATTACAGCAGGTCACTGGAGTGATGTAATGACAGTGTCGGGGACAGACACTCACACAGGGCGGTTCCATCTCATACAGGCAGAAAAATTGTAGTGATCTCAGCCGATTTCTAGGATTTTGTGAAATTGTAGATACCAAAGTGAAATATAAATAGTCTTGAACTTTTATGCAATATCAATTTACACCTTCAAACTGTAACTTCTGTGTATGGTACAATTAATTCCTTGACCAGTATAAAAGCCCTCATTAGATGTGCTATGTCACAAAAATTTCTGTATCATCTAAGGAATCAAATCCCCAATGAAGAAATTAATACAGTGCATTACACCATAATGCCCAAAGAAATCAGGTGTTTCTTACAAAAACTTTAAATCACAATCCTTTTACATCATGTGCAACTCACAGACTCTCCTGACTAAAGGTGGTAGTTTAATAGTAATGCTTGGACTTGGACTTGGGCCTGTTCTTGCTTCACCTTTTCTTCTACACTATGGATGCATCTCCACCAGGGGTTTAGTTCAGATCAGGGTTACAATTTCAAAGCAAAGCTCCTGATTGTCTCCCCTCACCCATGCCTTGGTTTGTGGTACAGAATAGTTGAGGAGTATGAGAACTAATTCCCTCAGGAGTGAAAGAAGCCATGTGAATTTTGGAATGAGTGTGGATACATCTAGAAAGGTGAGTTCTAGAACACTGATGCTGTTGGGCTGAGTTTCAACTCTGCACATCAAGCATTGCTGAAACCCAATCCTGTGGTGTCCCTGAAGGGTGAGTAAATCTGATCCATGTATTCCTGATGCTGGGAGGAGAAGCTGAATGCAATGGCCCATCCTGACAGCAGCACAGCACTGGCAGGACAACTGATGGAAAGCCTGACTTCTGCTCCCCTCCCTCCTGCAGCAGGACATGGAACTGGAATGCCAGTGAATGAGAACTGTTGCTAACTGAGCTCCTGCTCAGAGGGCCCAAAGTCCTTTGGATGCCCCAGCACTGAAGGAACAGTTTCTGGTTTCACACCCCCTCTGATGCTCTATTTGCAGCTCTGAGGGATGGCTGCTGTGATGTGCCCCACTGCCCATCCCCTGGCTCGCTCAGGAATTCACAGTGCCACTGCTGTGGCTATAGAATACCTTAAATATTGGCCACACGGTCTCCACTGAGCACTTAAAGCGAGTCTGCAGTGTACTGTAGTAAAGCAAACAGCTGCACCCTACACAGAACAGTTCAGAGCTCCAAATGAAATACTGGAATGATCTCTCCAGTGCATCCAGCTTTATTGCACAGAGAGATGAGTCCATGAAGACTGTATACACAGAAGCATTATTTTTTGATGGAAGTATAGTACTTAGCTTTTAGAGAAGCAGTGCTGACTGGTTTTCCTGTGCTCCACTTGTGAGCACCGTGTACCCAGAGCTTTATGTATCATTCCATGTATTATTGATACTAGGGAAAGGCAGAGCCACACAGGAGTCAGAACTCGTTTACATTTCAGTTATGTGGTACAGCTATTGATGCTATTGTGTCAAAGGTATTTCTGTTTATTCAGCACTCTTAGGACCCATGGAGAATGCAAATAAATTTTAAAAAAAAATGAAGCTTCAATTAAAAGAGTTGTGATATTTCCCCCAAAATATATTATAGTTCTATATTGATTTAATGGCCTGTTACTTTTAAAGTGACTGCTTTTAAAACAGTTGCACACAGTTGCCTTTATCACTACAAAAGCACTGTCAAGTGTAGAAGTACGGAATTAGTGCATTTATGTTAAAGAAAATTAAGGCAGAATGCCCATCTCCTTAACTTTATGTTCCCTTAATAGACACTCATTCTTCATCTTTTTCCTTTCAAATGTAAGAAAGCTTGAAAGACTTAAACCAGGTTTCGTTTAATAAGAGAAAATAAGAAGCCTGCCACACAGAAAATTACTAAATTATGCTCAGTTTAGGGGTTCCACTCTTCTCTTTTGCCTCAGGCTTTTGGGACATTAAGGCCACGTTATAAATCCTGGTCAGTGCTTTTTTCTAAAGAACAGAAATGAGAGTTTATTAGCATCACAGTGGTTGCCTCAATAATGACAAAACAGTTGCTCATTACTGCTCATTAGATTCATATTAGATTCATTTGCAACAGCAATACATCTTCTATTCGTCCTCGATTGCAAAACAACAGATATGATTTGACACCTGCTGTAGTACAGAATTCATTAGAAAGTAATGATACAAACACGATTTCAATGGATGGACTTAGTCTTCTGCCCAGATCTGATGGGTCTAAAATTTGTCATTTAATGTGGAATTTATATAGGATAAATACCCCAGCAGGCAACCAGCTCCTTTAAATCATGTGCTCCAATAAAATATCACACCCAGAAGCAGACGAGCCAAGAGCAGACACACAAACAAACAAGCAAATTCACAGGACCCTCTGCAGTAGCATACATTAACTGTGGCTGTTGATATCCCTAATATGGAAGTTAGTTACTAATTTTTAAAGTCACAGAAAAGTGCAAAAAAGTTACATTTTCATCAAAATATTAAGGCAACGAGTAAACAGGTCCAATTTTCCCTTGAAAACTTCTGGGACAAACTGAGCCCAGGATGTTACTGGAACACCAGTTAAATGCCATTGTCTTAATTTACTGGAATAGCCATTATTGTATCTCTACACTTTGGAAGCACCAAACTAATAACAGTGCTTAAATTGGCTAAAATCACTTCTTTTCCTAGAAAATCCTATGGGGAAAAACCAAAATTATCTCAAAACTCATCAGTTCTTGCCCTTTTCTCCTGTGCAAGGGATGAAAGTATATGCAAGTAATAGGTGTTCACATCATGACGCAGAGAAAGATGGGCTGATTGCAAAATCTAGCCCTGAATACCCTAAAATATTTTCATATCTACCCATAATACACATCATAATACCTTCAGCCTTGTTATTACCTTTCTGAAGGTACAAAACAAATATCCTGTTTCTGTTCTCTGCCCAGCTCTCCATCCAACTATCAAGTTAATTTGCATAAACCACTTACTGTTTATGCAAAGGGGTTTCTGTGTGCTCCTACCCCTCGACACACCTGACATCCGAAAAACCACAGAATTCTGCTTACTCTGCCTCTGGCAAGAAATTTCTTCACAGTTTCTCATCAAATCTGTTTCTTACAAGAACTGCTCTCCAGCAGAAAAGTTGCTCTTCCACTCCATAATCTAGCTCTGCTTTTCACAGAAAAACTGGATGTGATCACTGCCCTCTGCATTGGTTGAGACAACTTCTGTGATTTAACACTTACAGAGTGGACAGGACTGTAAAGGTGAATTCTCAGTGAAAGACTACCAAAAATGTATTCTGAATTTCATCATAAAAATATCTGATTTGATACAACCTAGAATCAGGTCTGACTTTTCTTCAGACATTTAAAGTCCTGTTACCTGCTCACGGTCATCCTGTGATTCTCCTCTTCTTCCTCCATACCAGCAGTTTCAAGAAGCAAAGCCATAAGTTTTGTATCATGAAATTCTGTTTTGTTTCTCTTACACCAGTACTCCAGTGCCTCACAACTTTATTCTTCAGCAAATTGGTTAAGGAGACATCTATTTTGGTTTTGTTGCCCATGGAATCAGTAATACTGAATGACACAGGTCCTGAGGTAGATCCCTTGGAAACTGGTAACCTCTCTGTCATTTGCTATTTCCCCTTTCAGTTTATTACTCCTTGCCCACTGTTTTCTACTTTTTGCACTTACTCACACATTCTCCAGCTTAATTAATAGTTTCCCATGTAATTCTGCTTTAAACACCTTGAAGTCCAAATGAATTGGTTCTATCACACTTCTCTTGTCTAGTTTTCTTAGCAAAGATAGACACCAAGTTATTTTGGCACGATGCAAAGCAGTAGTGCCTTTTATTCCACTTTCCAGTTATCATGATGGACTGTGATTATTCTTTCTTTCAAAATTAGTTCTAAAGCTGCAAAGTTTTGAAGTCAGGTTACCAGATTTTTAGTGGCTTATGTCACAGCCCTTTCTTAATTGTAAGTATTTCCTGTATGGCAATGTGTGATACTGGACACACATATTTCCTTTGGTTCTAATAAACTATGGAATGGAAGTTGTCATCTTGCCTCTTGACTGGTGTCACCTGGCACAAACCACTCAAAATATGTATTAAACAGAAAGACTGCTGATAACACAGGGTTTATAAAAGATATCCTTTAGCTAAGTGGGCACTGTTTTCTCAGGAATTATAGGAACTATTTAAAGGTTATTTCAGTGTGTGATCTCATATCCCTGCTCTTTATAGAGCAGACTTCAGGAAAAAATCACATACAATTCCTCTGTGAGGAGTATTTAAAAACAACACACCTGCCTTGGTTCAGCCAACCATTAGAACAGCAGCTCCAAGCCTGGATTTTCAAGAGTCACTATAAATGCAAATCAGAAGAGAAAAATAAATTAATTGAAGCGAACCCTCACTTGACTAAGACAACTGCTTTTAAAAATCAGCTGTTAGGAAAATTCCTAGCCTGATTATTGAAGAAATCAGAGCCCCAGACACTGAATCCCAAACCACCAAATTATCCCATGTTTTCTCTCCACTGTGATTCTGCTCATGGAATTGACCCCATGGCAGTGGGTAGTGGAGCACCATCAGGCCAGGACAGTGCCTTGCTTTCCTGGGAATGCTGGACACATGACACAGCACTATTTTATCAGGCATATCACACACTGGATTTGTCACTTCACCGCTGTTTTTAATGAAAAAACTCCCAAACACACCCCAAAACCAAAACACAACAACAAACTGAAAGGAGTCTTAACGGTCATTAAAATCAACAGCCTTCTGATCTGTTCTGGGAAAGAAGGCATTGGCACCCTGCCTCCTTCCTTCTGGATGGGATCTGAGACTAACAATGCAAATATATTAATATTGCATGGTCAGGGCTACTTTCTATTAATATGCCATTAATAAAACAACCTTTGCACTACATTTAAAGATCATGAAGATCAATATTTATTCTGAGGTCAGGGGGAAAAAAAATCAATCTTGCAGTAAAACGAGTCATATTTAATATATCCCCTCATCATAATTAAGTTTATACATAAAAAGTAGCATTGATATGTGAATAATGAATGCTATGACAGATGAGTTCCCCTTCTTGAACAACTTCATGTGGTTAATCTCAGAAATGGAAAGACTGAAGTGATTATATGCACCTTCTCCCTGAGTGCTTTGCCAAATTCCTCTTGGCTTCTCTAAACCTTTTCACACACACTGCAAAAGAAGTTACTGCTTCTTGTTGACCACAAGCACTGGTGTGCTACTACTAATGTTCCTGTAATCTCTTTATCCCATTCCAGAGAATCTCAGTGCCTCCAACCAAGCCACCCAGAGTGCTTCAAATGGATAAAACGACACAAAAATGAAATTATTCGTATCAAGTCAGTCAGTAGCAGAGCCAGGATTAGGACTCCAGGAATTAGTCCCATAAGGGAAATCATTCCTGATCCCCCTCTCTGCTCCAGCCACTAGACATCCTGCTCTCCCTGCAAACACAAGCCATTCCCAGAGGAGCAATAAACTTATATCACCTCTTCACACATTTCTGAAAGTAAACATGGAAAACACTTTTCCTTCAGTGCTCAGAAACAAGTGCTTTCTAAAGGCACGAGCAAGAAAACCCCTGACACCCAACAGATAAGGAACACAGCCAGGGTCTGACTGTCTTTCCAGCTACAGTGACAGGAACAGGGAGTCACATCTCATCCCAACAGCCATGAAAACCAGGAGAGCAGGAACAGGCTCGGGGACAGGAATCCTGGCCCTGGCTGGGCAGATTCTGTAGCTCATTCAAAAGCCACACATCCCTTACTTGCTTCAGGGCTCTTGGTGCTTCTGTTGCCAGGTTTGCCCTTGTTGTATTGATGCCCTGATCTGGTTAGTTCAGAACTGGGGCTCAATTCCACGGCATCGGTAGCAGGGGGATTGTTAAAGGAGACTGGGTACACAAATTCCAGAGGCTAAAGTGCCCCCTCTAGAAGTGTGGGAGTCATTCATTCAGGCTACTTTACACTAAAGCAGATGTCACACCTATTGCCATTGTCATCTCCTGTACTTTACCAGCACTTTACAAGTAATTCCCAGTATTATATTTCAGATGAAATTCCCAAGATTTCCAATCTTCTGTATTTTCTTTAAAGAGAGGAGTATTTTCTTACCTGCCTTTTAAGAGTCTCAGCTGTTTTCCTCCGCTCTGTTTAACATGTAAAAGCCTTTAATACTTTGAACTTACCACAAGATGCAAACTACAAGAAGTGTCTACATGAAAAACCTTAATCAGTCAGGAAGTTGGTAAATGATGTCCCCATGCCATCCATATTGAGTGTCCATTACTCCTGGACATAGCACATTAACTGACTCATTAGCTATTGCAAACCATATGGACTTAGGTTTGGGTGGGTTGCTCTCATAATATCCTGAGGTGAGCTGCCTAATTATTGTAATTAGGTGATCTCAATCAGGGCGCCAGTCACACCAAATGGAGTCAGGAGTCTCTGAAATGGGTGTCAGCGCACCCAGACAATGACTGAGTTGAGCAACATGGCCCCTGGATGTTGGAGATCCCCTGATACTGCAAAAAGTAATCACTTCCAAAGTTCTGAGGAAGGGGCAGCGAGCACAGTGACAACGGAACAGGCACAGCCAGAGCAGGGGACTCCGAGCAGATGCACCAACACAAATAGTTTTCTCAGCAGAAACTGGGAAACTTGATGCCTGGCTGTCAATGGTCTTAATACAGAGATGTTACATCTCTAGAGTAAATTTAGCCATGGTATTTTAAGCAACAGTGAGGTCTGGAGAAGGGGGGGGAATTAAATGTGGAAGGGCTAAAATGTCAGCATTAAATACCACAAAAGCATCACAATGCAACAGTGAGAGAAGCTACAAGTGCTCACCTCCTGCAGCAAATTTGAGGGGCTTTGAGTACGTGATACTGCAAGATTTCATATAATTGACTGCAACAGTCTATATTCAAGCTTGGGTTTGAGCAGTGAGAAGAAAAAAAGATTAAAGGGGAGATGGACTGAATGTTCAACGCAGAGTGCTTTAAAACAAAGACAGAAACAAACGCAGTTGAACTGCACCCAGGATAAATCCTCCAGGGCAGGGCCTGTGGCCTTCAGCTGTTTGCAGCAATGTGCCAACTGGAAGTCAAATAACAGCAATCTGAGAGCATTTTTGGTTGATACTGGTAGGATTTGTACACTTTCACTCTTATTAGAATACACACCTTTCTCCTGTAAGGATTCTTGAGTCTGGCAGTAGTGGTGGCTGTATGACCTTGAAGGGAAATTGCTTCTGCAATAATTAGGCTTTCCTGAAAGAAACAAAACCAAGCAAAAAAACCACCCTGGTATCTATAATTATTTTGGCCCTTTTTGCCCCCTACATCACCTAATTTGCTAATTTGTAGCAACTTTGAAGGCAACAGAGGCTTTAACGAGTCTAAATGAGGCTCACGTTTTTTGGGAGGGTTGCTAATGCCCTGCTGAGCAGGGTAGGGCAGGAGAAAAAAGCCTTCTGTCCAGTTCAGCCCCACAGGAAAATAGGATTCCTTAGTCCCACCCACAGACACAGGGATGTGCTATTTATAGGGCCAAAGGGCCTGCTATCAACTTCTAATCTGGTTAGAGCCTTTCTCAGGTAAAGCCTCGGGGCTGTTGATTTTTAAAAACATGTATGTGGGAATTTTGTCTTTTGCAGTGTCCGAAATGGACTTGCAAGAAATTTGCTAGTAACGTTCACATACTATTTTTTGTGAGCCTACTAGTTACTGTTATTTATTAATAAAGATCTGGATTTAAATAATAAACTGATTCTTTGGGAGTGGCCTGGTATGTGAAGGAAACTTTTCTTTTTAGTATTTTTTTTGAATGAGTGATATTATTAGTCTCTATTGCATTCCTGTGCAATTGCCTCTAAGGGTTTTGAACTCTTGTAATGACTGATAAAAGCTTGAAAATCTTTAACTTCACACCTATTCTCTTTCAAAAAAATCCCCAAACAAACCCCAAACAATCCAACAACCCCACAGTTATTTTCCATGACTTGTAGCATACATACCTTGAACCCTTTTGTACGACAGAATGTTACACTGTGTGAGCTGTGAAAGAGCTGCAAGTTATCAAGGATGGCTCAGGCTTCAGGTATTCTTCCATCTGGATGAAGTTGAAGCTGTAAATTTGCAGTTTCTTTTACTAGTACGAGAAAACTTTTATTTAAAAACCTTAACTACCTCTGCAGGTGTGTGTTGTGGGAGTCAAAGGGATGTCATGTGGTCTTGTTGCCTAAAATGGAAGAAAAGAACTTTCTGGACAATATTAATATAGATAAAGACTTCAGTTTTCAAAACCAGTAACAGATTGCATTTTGCTACTGTATCCATTAGCAATTAAATAGACCCCTGTGCACCTATTTTTACTTTTAGTTTGGCTATTAGCTTATAATGGCTATTTTTGAAATAGCCTTTTTTTGATTACTTCATTATTCCTCAGAACTGCATGAACTTGTTTTCTTCTTTTGTGATCTTGCTCATGAATAAAAAGAGCTAAATGAGCTCAAAACAACTCATATTTACAAGCTGGGAAGTTTTGCATTGAGCCCCAACCTCTCATTAAATCAATGTGTCCTACTAATTTGCTGATGTTAAACTATTCTCAGTGGTTTTGTGGGGACAAAAGGCAATTCCAGTTCTAACATACTTACAAATAAAACAAAAATAGGAATATCTAATCAGTTCTGTTTCTTTAGGATCATGTCTCTTACTATTCATTCATACTCGTTCTATTTTTTTTCTCCATACAATTTCTACAAATTTTGAGTCTTTTAATTTATGGTGTTTTCTCCTGGATCAAAAAAAAAAAACAAACCAACAACAAACTGTCTTGAGATATGTAACAATGTAGATGTCTGCTTGCAATGTAATACTATCACTGGTATCTGCTAGATATCTGGATGACAAAATAAACCACATCTGATTTGTTTCACTTTCTTATTCTGGTGAAATTTTGTGGGCAGGGAAAAAAACTCGGAAGCAGGAAGATCCCCAATACACTTTCGTTTCAGTTTAATCACATGGAAACCTCTTTGCAATAGCTGAGCAAAAAAAGCTGTTTCCTTAAACAGAGGCTTATCCTCTGATTCCCAGGCAAGTATTTAGAGACAATTTACTTCTGAAAATATTCTTCACCCCTGGCAGAATAGCGGTTTCACCCCAGGTAACAGATACCCCAAGCACTGCTCAAATTGAATAAAAGTGTGAATTCTCTCCATAAGTGGTGATGGTTTCTTTGATGCTGGACTGGGCATCTGTAGTTGTTTGTTTCTTTTAAATAAACAAAACAACCCCAACACCACTCTCTTACAGTCTGTTTTGACAGCTGTTGCTAGAAGGGGAAACCCTATGAAATGCTTTATGGCAATCTTGGATTTCTACCCTTTATGGCCGAGCTTTCTGTTGGCAATTTTTGAGCTGGTCCTTTCACTGATGATAAAACCACAAAGCCTGCAAGGCTGACGAAGCAGAAAAGGTTGTTACATTAAGGCTTAATGTACTGATAGCAACACAGACTTTGCAGTCATAATCTGTGTCACTACTTTTAAGCTCACCTGCAAATTATGGGGTTGCTGAAGACGTTCTGGATTTTGATTATTCTGGAACTTTTTAAAAAACTTTTCTTTTTAAAAAATGACTTAGAAGTTTAAGTTTTAAACCTCTCTCTTTTTTTTTTTTTCCTCAAAAGGACTTGTCACTATGTTGTGGTGGCCCCCAGTGACCACCACCTGGGGGAACGGGCCCTGACAATAAAGCAAAGCCGACACAAAATGGCGGCTTGTGCGCAAGATGGCAGCTTGTTTCCCTGGGATCTTGGGGAATTAAACCCCACCTCACTGTGTCCTTTATTGCCAAGGTGATGGGGCTGATTCACTCCTGGGTCAGATGTATGTCTCCTGGAGCACTGGCTGACCCACCTGAGGTGGCCACTGCCCCTTCCTGTGCTGTTTTGGGGTACCTGTGTTTCTGTGTGTAAATCGCGATCCCTGTCCTCCGCCAGGAAGATGCTGAGGTAAAATCGAAGTTGCCTGAGGGGTGGCACCATGTCAGCTCTGTGACTTCACTGCACCTCCTGAAGGGATTTGCTGAACCCCAAAACCCTTGTGAGCTGAGTTTTTTTTTTTACCTCAGTCAGGAAACATTCTGATCACCTACTTTGCTAAGCACTAAATAACTTAAAAAAAAACAAACAAAAACCAAACCAAACCAAACCAACCAACCAAACAAACAAAAAAGGAAAGAAAAAGTTTCTAACTTGCAAAGTCCAGATTAAAAAAGCTGAAGAGCTGGAGCACCTGAGGCTGAGGCGGCCTTCCGTGCCCTCTCTGCCTGCTCCCTCTCCCTGCTGCTCCATCTCCAATCTCCCATCTCCCTTCTCCATCTCCCTTTTCCTTACCCCTGAGGGGAGAAGCCGGAGCCTCTGGGGCTGAGGCGGCTTGGCAGGTGCCATCTCCGTCCTCCATCACCTCCCTGAGGCGAGGAGCCAGAGCGCCTGGGGGCTGAGGCGGCTTCGAGGGCACCATCTCCCTGCTCCGTCCCCCATTCCCCTGTTGTTCCGTCTCCCAACTCCCAGCTCCAACTCCCCGCTCCATCTCCCCTCTGCTCTGACTCCCAACAAGCAGCTCCTTCTCCTGCCTCCATCTCCCCGTTGCTCCGTCGCCCTGAGGCGAGGGCGGTGTTGGCGCCTCACGGGCGAGCTGAGGGGAGGCGGGAAATGGCGCGCGCCCCGCCCCGCTGAGGGCCCTGTGGCGACGGCGGGAGTCCCGTCCCGGCCGGGGCTGGCCTGGGGGTGTCCCGGCCCTGCCCCGTTCCCCGCCCAGGGTTTCCCCGCAGGAACACGGCATCCCGCCGCCCGCTCCTCCTCCTGCTGCTGCTGCGGAAGTTCCCGGCCGGGAAGTTTGCGGCCGGCGGCGGCGGGAAGCCGAGGGCGCTCTGCAGAGGTGCGTGAGGGGGAGCGGGACTGAGGGGCAGCGCCTCGCGCCCCTGCTGCGCTCTGCGGGCAAAGCCCACCGGGGTAGAGTGTATCTTCTGGCAACTTTTTCTCAACCTACTTTCTCTTTCATTTTCTCCCCCTCTCAAGGTACGATGCCGCCCAAGGGTCCCGGCAGAGGCAAGCTGCCAGTCCCTCTCCCTAAAGACATGATCCTGAAAGACACCGAAGGAAAAACCTGGAGGCTGGGCAGTCAGATCGGCCAGGGAGGATTTGGCTTGATCTATTTAGGTAAAAAAGCGGTGGTGATTAAGAGGGTGACTTGTAACTTTCTGAGCTGGATAAAGCAGAAAGGATTTTAAAAGTTACTGTTGTTTACATGCTGGTGGTGATCCTTGCTGAAGTGTGGTTTCCTGAGGTTTTTCCCTGCTGTTCCTGTTCCGTTCCTGCTGATGGTGCAGCGTGTTCTCCACGGCCTGTCCCGCTCAGTTTCTGGTTATTCTAGTGCACTGTTCTATGGATCTTGGGTGGGGCAATCGCGGTGCTGCTGTCAAAGAGCACTGTCAGGTGATGCTTTCAAAAGAAAAAGTTGCTTTTGTTAGGCACTGCTTTGGGCTTAGGCCAGTCTCATGCTCTGTAGCACTCTTTCAGTTTTTGGCTGTTGGAAATGTTGTCTTCTGGCCAAGAAAACATCCAGGGTATGTAACAGGAACAATAGTTAGCTGGGTGTTGCCCCTAAATTCAAACCTTTTCACCAGAGGTGGAAATGCTGTTCTTTATTTGCTCTGGCCTAGATATGCTTCTGTGTTTTCTTCAGAAGCAGCTGCTGCAGTTCAGTGAGATTGTGCTTTATGAGGAGTGAGTAGTTCTGAAAGGCAGTTTGTAAAGCATTCTGGGTCACTGGAGACCGTATAATGCATATTACTGTTGCTGGGCTCTCTGAAAGAGCAAATCCTGTGTTCAAGGCAATATTATGAGTTTGGCGGTTTGGTTTTTCTTTTTTTCATTGCATACAAAAACTAGTCCACAGTGACTGTTCAGGACTTGAACTTGTCAAAATTGAACTTGAAATAAATTGAGCTAGTATTGAGACAGCGGTAAAGAATTACCTAGAAGCAGTTCAGTACGTTGTCCCTGGAGCCAAACATGATCTATTTAAGTTAGAGTAATATTAACTCTATTAGGAATATTAATGCTTAAAACTTCATAGGCAAGTCAGTCCTATACACAAACCAACTTCCTTTTATGCATAAATCAGCTATATCCTCTTTGTTTAAGCTTCTCCTTTTTGTGTGTTTCTGCCATGGAAAATACAGTTGTGATTGTTTCCCAGATGCTGCTTGTGAAAAGGGCTTCCCAGTTGTGCTGTTCTTCCAGCTATTAACATGTGGCTGTAAACTGCAGGAGGGTGAACCATGGGAGAGTACCTGTGCATCTGACTGAGGTTGCACCTGGGCTTCAGGTTTGAGTGAAGAAACTTTCTAGGGGGGGAAAAAGGAGTAGTCTGGCACTTCGTTCCACCAAATGCTTGTGCAAACAGAGCAAAGCAGTTTCAGTAATGACCTAAGTTCCACTGCTTCTGCTTTTCCACAGAGTAAACTCAGTCACTGAGGAACCTGGAGAAAACTAAGGCTGTGTGTGTTCTTGTGAGTAGTTTGGTGTAAGCAGGGAATGAGGACATGGCAACCGTCAGTGGGTATGGCCCTACAGCTCCCCTTTACTGAAATCTAGGGCTTGTTTTACTTTGGGCTAGATTTGGTGTGGCCTGCTGCTCTGAATTGCCTCACCGAGTGCATGGTTTGAGGCTGAAGGAATTGGTTTGAATCCTGATGTCGCTGTTAGTAGTTGGAGCACATCTGAGAGGTTCCTGTGGAGGAGTTTCTGGTTTGGTTTCCTCTGGAATTCCTGTAGTTCCCACACATCTCACTGCTCTGCAGATGGAACCAGTGGGAACCATGGGGGTTTCAGCTAAGTGCAGATACAGAGGAGTCAAAAGATAGGGCACTGTTAGAATATTTACATTCTTTTTCCTTTTGGTATCTGTTATCTTGTTATGACCTTCTTTGAAACATTAGTTGGTTACTTTGAGAGGTGCTGTGCATAGAGCATATATTAGATGTAACCATAGAAAATAGGCCTTAGCATGAGATAAGAAGTGAAGTTAAAGTGTCTCTGGATATTGCCATTCAAGGATAAAGGAAAGGAAGTTGGAAACTTGCAGAAGTCTCCCACAGAAGGGTCTGAGGGAACTGGGGGTGCAGTGCAGAAAGCAAGGTCATAGTGGGTGCAGTTCTCCAAGAGTAATAAACCAAAAAACATGATGTTCCTGAATCACTTGGGATACAGCTCTGTCATTTTCTGCTGCAGTCAGGTCACACTGGACCTTGTGGGTGGTTTAGCACGTGAGATTCAGTCAGTTCCATGTAGATTTGATGAGTTTTCTGCCTGATCCCACAGACCACTGAGGTGATTTCATGTATCGTGGTGTGTGTTGCAGTTTGGCTCCCACTGAACTGAGGTGGAAAGCAGTCAGTGGATTAGTTCAGAAGGAGAATACAGTCTGGGATCCTTGGTGTTCTGTGTGTTTTCAGAAGTGACAGAATGGCTGAGGAAATGCAGCTGCCACTTCTGTAATGGTATTTGTGTTCGTTTAATCTCTTCTGTCAGTAGGGACAGTGAATGTTACCTGTAGCATTTCCTGAAGGCTCAGTTCCCCTCGCAGCTCATCCTGCAATTAAAGAGGAAATGGACAACATTTTATCCATAAGTATTGACACTGACTGAAGTTGTCTTTCTTTGTCCACCTCTTGATCTCTGATATGTGTTTATATCATATAAATCATACCATTCAGTAGCTTTTTGGGGGCTTGATGGTACAAAACAGTTCAACTGTCTTTGAGAGCCAAGGGATGTGAAGTAGATGACAAATCTTTGAGAGTAAGATAGGGATGCTTGGTGCTGAGAGACACCTTCTCTGTGCTGTTCAGACTAATTTTTGGTGCAGGTTGTGAGAGAAGCACTAACTTTCAGGGGTAAGATAACCCAGAAAGAGCTGTGGAGAGCTGGGCAGACAGGAGAGGGGAGGCAGGTTCGATTGCCTGCCAGGAATGAAGAGCACAGCCCTTTTATGAAAGTAAAGGTTAACTTTGCCAGCTATATCTTTTAATAAGTATTTTTACGGTGGCAGTGTAAAGATTTTGATGTGCGTTGTTATAGCTTAATTTCCCATTAAGACTATTCCATACTCCATTAATCCATAACAACGTTCTTGGGGAATTTTACAGTATCTCTGCAAAATATATTTACAAGGGGTGCATTCTGTGGAGGAAGGTTCTGTGCACTAAATCAGAGCTGCTCAAAGCCCTTTACTGACCCTGAGACCCAGGATGTAAATAGTTCCATGTGCGTGGAAGTTACCACTGTCTGCTGGTTCTGTCCTGCCTCACAAATGTTTTCTGATTATTCTTTCTCTTTCCAGTCTGTAGCAACTTGTTTATTTCTTTGTTGACCTGTTCCTTCCCTTGGATTCCCTTTGCATTTTCACCTCAGCCAGAGCAAATCCAGCAGCACAAGGCTTTCAAATACTGATCCCTCCCAGTTGCTGACAAAGGCAACAAAAATCCTCTCAGAGATGTTCTAGATCTCAGAAGCATTGCTTTTGTCATAGCAAGAACAATATGGATCATCAACAGGAATTAGCTTCCCCATTGTACATGAGAAGTTTTATTGTATATATGTAACTGGTGTTGATTTGGTTTCAGGCACCTCAGGTTTCAGGTCCCTTCGATAAGGGGGAGCAGAGGGAAGAGCAGCTGAGGAAGAACGTGATGTGTTGGTGGTCTCACAACTGGTTTGTAGCTCTGTGGAGTACAGTGGCAGCACACTGGAAAATGAACCAAGAGTTGAGGAGCCTTACTTTCTCTCATTTGTCACAGTCAGTAATTAGCAGCAGTCTTTATATAAATCATTCTCTAGTCCTGCTGCAAGCACTCTATTAATGCACAATTTGGACTGAAAATTTAAGTGCAGAAAGGTCACACAATGTTTTGTTAAAATTCCTCTGTCACAGTGGAACCTGCTGTAGACAGCACTCTCTCCTTGCAGGCTTCCTTCTCATGGAAACTGGTGGTTCTGCAAAAAATGTATTTTTTTTATATTTATGTACACAGGGGGTTGTTAGATGGTGTTCATCATAGTACATTCTGCCCTGGCTGTTCTGGGAATCAGGCTGAGAGATTGAAAGACAGTTTGTTTCTATTTCAAACCCAATAATTTCCATGGATAGTTTGTATAGCTTTGAGTGGGGGTGTACATGTGTAGAGGAAGAGAAGCATTGACAGAAGCACACTCTGTCCTTGTCCTACTGTTCATTCCTTGGTTTGCTTGGGAAGCTGGCTTTAGCAATTGTTTCTGGAGAAACAAAGTACTTCAGCAGTTTGCTTAAATTAACTTCACTGAAAATATTTATTAGAGTGAAGCAAATGAATTAAAAATGCAGTAAAGATGATACCAAAAGATATAAATTCAGCACGATTTTTATTAGCTCAATGGAAAGAAGAATATTAATGGCAAAATTCTGTAATTAAAAGCACTGGCAGGTAACTCAGGTTAGGGATGGATTTTTCTTAACCCTCAGATGTTAAAATGCATTTCATCAAAGGTCTCATTGTGAACCTTAGTGCGAAAATAAGTTTGTGAGCAGGCAAACAGCACTTCAGGAAGGAGTGTTTGTGTCTCGTCACTAATATTAAACTATACAAATACAGATATTGCAAGCAGATTACCTAATTTTTCACACTGTCTGTA